CCTCTTGCTCCTTATCGGTTTTCCCAGATCAGCGTAATAACTTTACATGTGGCAGGTATCCAGAAATGCTTCCCATAATCCTTCAGTGTCCTTGGAGTCAAGCTTACCCCAACTGATTAGATTCTCCTTTCCCATGTTGAGCAGGCTTTCCTCTATTTTTCTTATTCTACTTGTCCATTTATCTCCCTCTGACTGAACCCGCATCTGAATGGGGATGAAATATTTCACGATGACACTAGGGGTAAAAATCGGCTACACAACTCAAACCAACAGCTATAGGGTAGACTTTCTATATAAAAAGCAGTTTGCTTGAGGTTTGTAAGACTTTTGTTATAATGAAAACCAACTTTTTAAATCAGTAAGGAGTATATAAAAAGTTTATCAAATAATGAAAACTTCAGTTCAAAATTGTAGGCAAAAAATAGAAGGAAAAGGTTATAGAAAGGATCAAAAGGAGTAGGGAATGGCAAGCGTCTGCTCCACCCAGATCTGAAGGTTACACTTGAGGATATTACCACCTCTTCCACTACAGAAGAAATCAGTCTCAGGCTACAATCCTGAAGGTTGGAGGTTCTTGTCTCTCAACAGTTTTGCTCATGAACCACAGGTCACACTTTTTGAAACCCGTTTTTCACTTTTCAATGAACTGATGTATGTTTTTTCTTCTCATGCTGATTTTTACAGTTGCTCTCAAACTGCTGGTGTCAAACAATATCCTCTATTATGCCACTCTTCTGAGATAATGCTTTGTAGTGCTTTCCAGACTCAATGAAATCTTAATATAACATTTTTTTTTCTTAGCCTATGGATCTATGTTGATGGCAGGCAGAAAGGTTTACCTGTTAAATTTTCAATCTTTCCAATAACCCATGGGCTATGCCCTTATTATAATCTTCACAAGCAAAAAGCAAGTATGTGGCCATAGAAGAGTTCTGCCTTCAGAGTTCTATGGCAGTGTTTGTCAAATTCCCCAGTAATAGAAACTCTTTAAAAAAATTCTCGAGATACAAATATGATACTAGTGAATACTTATAACTACTACATGTCAGGCACCTTGCTTTTACATGCATTCTCATTTAATCCTCACAGATGCTTTTATATCACTGTGAAGTTATAATTACTACAATGAATAGTATCCTCACAAATAGCATTATCCTCATTTTTATGTATGAGTAAACTGAAGCTCACAGAGGCTAAGTTACCTTAAAGTCACACATTAGTGAGCTGTGAATCTTTCTGGTTCTAGAACCCATGTTTTTCATGCCCCCTGGATCGTGCTGCCTCCTGATGGGGATGTGCGGGGAAGATGATTTTTTGGGATTTACACCTACCCAGGTAGAACCAGGCATGGCATTCTGTGAGGCTTCATTTACCTAGCTTGTCCTAGATGGGGCCAAAAGGCTTGACTGCATTTGTCATCTGGACTGCATTCCATTTAGATATTCATTTTGATGTGGTAGGTCTTACAGTTAATTTTCATTTTTATCAGAAATATATGTACACTGTTTTAAAATTACCACAAAAGCATTTCCTCCCTATTCCTAAATGTGGTTCCCCAGATGCAAGTATTTTTTACCATTTTGTCTATTTCTTCTGTTAATTAAATCCCTATGTCTAGACTGAGCTTTTCACAGGACGGTCAAATACTCCAGTCATGCCTTTGTTCTATTTGTTGTGTGTTTTTAATGGCACCATCTCTTTTGGAATTCCTACCATCTTTTGCCTGTTTTGAATCCCCTAATTCCCGCATCACAAGTCTTCTTCCTTGTTTACTCCATTACTTTGTAGCACTTAAGAAATGTCTTGAGGAAAAGCTATAAAAGGCAGTATTTTTGAGTCCTTACATGTTTTAAAATTTGTGTTTTACTTTGATACTATTCTTTAGCTGGAATATTAGGATATAATGAACTTTTGAAGGAATTGTTCTATTGTTTTCTCACTTCCAGTGTTACTGTTAAAAAGTCCAATGGCTTTCTGATTCTGGATCCCTTGAATGGGACCCATTATTTTCTTCTTAGTTTTTAGGACTTGTCTTTTATCACCCCAGTACTCTGAAATTTTGTAACTCATATGTTTTAGTCCTTTGTCTTTTTTTTTTTCATTTTGCTGGGCAGAGTAGGTCTTTTCAATCTGGAAACTCATATCTTTCAGTACTGGGACATTTATTACACAATTTCCAGGGTAATTTTCTATCTCCTTTCCTGTTCTCTCTTCTAGAATTCCTACTAGTTGGGTACTATATTCTCTGGAATAATTCTCCAACTTTCTTTTCTCTCATTTTCTCATGTTTGACTTTTTGTTCCAGTATTTGTAAAATGTCCTCAACTTTATCTTCCAAAACTTCTATTTGAAGTTTCTTACTTCAAATAACTGTTTCCTGAAACTTTAAACTTTATTTTCTATGTACAATCAATATGAGACATTTCTCTTAGACCTATGATGTCATTCATCTGTGACAAAATGTGCTTCTTCAGAAGAAATTTTACCACCACAAGTCACTTTTGTTATATAGGGTTTAATGAGACCAAAACAAAAAGGTGCCTTTCAGTTCCCACGTTAATTTAGTGCAAAATAATTTCTTTGAAACTTGTCGAATATCACAAAATATTGGCCAAAAGAAAACCCCAAAAAAGTAGCTTGTATTTGTGGCATGCTAAAAATGGAGCTTCAGTGTACATAACTGTGAAATAAAAAGACATGGAGACAATTCCAGCAATCAGACTTGCCCAAAGCACAGGGCTTTTGGCAATGGCCTGGAACGAATGTGGAATGCATTGCCCATTTGAATCAAAGTCCAGATGGCTATGATTTCTTTTTTTCCATTTTCAGTTCACTATCGTTCTACGGGCTTTTTTTGTTTTGTTTTGTTTTTAGGCCTCTTAGCAAAAATTTAATCTCTGGAAAATATTTCATGTGAAAATACCCCATATGAGTGTGATTTCTGTAGATGACAAAGGTGTTTTTGTATCAACAATCTCTCATTGCAAATGACAATGACAAAGGCATGTGCCACCATGCCCGGCTAATTTTTGTATTTTTCGTAGCGACGGAGTTTCTCCATGTTGGTCAGGCTGTTCTCAAACTCGGGACCTCATGTGATCAGCCTGCCTCGGCCTCCCAAAGTGCTGGGATTACAGGCATGAGCCACCGCACCTGGTGCCAGTTTTAAAGTTTTGAAAAGCAAAAACAGTAACAGTACAAGTATTTTGAGCCTCACTGCTCTCAGCTGAAAATTAGGATAAGATTTATCTCATTACGGTTTGCATGTGTTGTATTGCTGTATATATGTAGAATAACTAATGCATCTCATACATAGTAAGCATTCAGAAAATGGCTGCCATTGTTGTAGCACTAGACTCTGTTGTCTTAGACTAGATACTAGCAGTGTTAATGCAATACCTCAGTGATCAAGAAACTGACTCAAATTTTTTTTTCCTGCTTAGTGCCATCCATACCAAACTGACAGCTGTCATCCTTCTGTTTTTCACTTGTTTATAAAATATCTATCTTTTGTGCGTTCTGCATTCTTATTTAATTATAAACTTCCCAAAGAAGGAAATTATTTATCTCCCAAAAGCCTTGAGCAAATCTGAGACTCTCAAAATATTATCAGCTGACTCAGGTTGACTTTTGAATTCAATGTTCTTTCACTGCTAAGTCCACTTGCTGCTGAAAGGAAATCTTAATTTCAGGCAAATGGCAAATTGCTTTATTGTTTACATTTCTTTAAAGGATTTGCTTTGCTTACATATTTTATGAATAAAAATTGCTAAATACTGCACAATAATTTGATGAATAATTCTTAAGGATACAATCAAAGCAACTTATAAGTCCAAGGGGCCTAGGGTTGTTTGGGGTTTTGTTTAACAGAAGGTTAAGGTACTCGCCGATATGAATTTGGAGTATGGAGGGAGAGAAATGTCTGCGTTTGTGTTCCTGCTCTTCATAAGGCAACATTACCATGCCTCTTTTCTGGAGACATCATAGCATCCTGTGATCCACAGAAGACCCAAGTTCCAGGCAATACAACTAGGAGTCCTTGCAAAGAAACACTTATGTCTATCTATTCCCATAGTTTAGTCTACAGTTAAATACACTAACTACAGCTTCGTCTAGTAGTTCTCAAACATCACTGGGCACATGACTCACCTAGAGAAGTTATAATTTACCTGAATCTCCTCAAAAATTGCTTCAATACCTAGAGTAGGACAAGAAATTTGCAGTTTAACACACTTTCACCACTGCCACCCTATGATGTGATTCTGACATAAGTAGTTCAAACCCCACAGTGAGGAAGATGGCCTAAGTCCAGGATTATACTCAGGGTTGGTATAACAGAAAACAAAATGGTATCTTGCCACTTCTTAGCCCCAGGAAGTAGCTGAGACATCTTAAAGAAACAGGTTCCTTGTTACTGGAATTAGCCTTTGTCTACCATATACCCCTTTTTTATATGTCTATTAACCTGCCAAGTCATTTGTACGAATTTGGACATTTTTAAAGACAACCATCTTTTTTATTAATGCTTACTCAAACCTTAGACAAGCTGTTCAAATAGTAAAACTAAGCAATCATTTTTCTTTCCTCAACCTACTTCTGGAACACATGTTACCATTCACTGTCATAATTTCAAAATAGAATCAGGAGGGATGTCAGTGTAATAGGGGAATGTTGCCTCCTAGCCCTCAAGAATGTATTACAAGTGTTTTTTTATTTTCCCCTAAACAGTTATGAATTCCAGGTGAAACCCAAAAACCCGCTTGGTGAAGGCCCGGTCAGCAACACAGTGGCATTCAGTACTGAATCAGGTAATTACATCAACAGTAATTCCCAAAAACAGTGTCAAAGGGCCACAGTGGAGCAATGTTTTGCGTAGGAAGCCTGTTTGAAACCCAGCTAAACACTACATAATACTGTTTCTTGAATTTCTTAAAAACCCATTTGTGGGAAAAAGCAAACTGATGAAGGCTTAGAGAAACACCATTTATATTTTTCCTCACTTAAAGACACATCAGTTTAATTTAAAAAGCATAATCTATACTCTTCCAAAAAGCTAGTGAATGAATCCTCCTCTGTATGCCTAGAATCAAAATACCCGTGAGTGTATCCACAAAGGGAACACATGATAGTTTAATAACAGCTGTGAAATTTTCCAATTAGACCTTACAAGTTCCAATTCCTTAATGAGATACATCTGCACATAGAGCATTAATATTTGCATAATTTTTATACCAACTGTAGTTCATGGCATCTTGGTGATTTTTACCATGAAGTTTTTGTATCAAACTAAAAGCAGCAGCTTTTGAAATTCAAGTGGAGGCTGGAACAGCGACAACTGTTCCCAACTACTCAAATTACATATAACAGATACAGCTGAATACCTACCAGGCAGGAGATTATTCAATCAAGAACAATTTCCAAAACAAAGCAAACTTTAGCAAAAGAGTACCACTTTGCAAATAAGACTTTGTAACTGTAAGCACCCATCATCTTCACCATGCCACTGGAATGTTGGGGTTTTATCTAGTAAGGTCTGACTTTTGTATTTATTTCTCCTCAGCTGACCCAAGAGTGAGCGAGCCAGTTTCTGGTAAGTACCTGTCTCAATGAGACACAACTACATGCTTTTCTAAACTTATTCAACTGACCAGGCATGGCAGAATCTGAATCATGATTTCGCGTTTTTCCACTTAGTCTTCTTATAATACCAAACAGGTGTGAATGTTTACCTACACATTGTACAACACTGAGCACCCATGATGTTCTGGGAACAAATTGGACATTTTGAAATTTACTTTCACTCATGCGCCAGGCTTATTATTATTTAATAAAATAGCCAGTGTAATCCCAGCACTCAGAAGCTGAGGTGGGAGAATTGCTTGAGCCCAGGCGTAGAAGACCAGCCTGGCAATATGATGAGACTCCCTCTCTACAAAAAATTTACCAATAAAAAATTAGCTAGGCATGATGATGCACGCCTGTGGTCCTAGCTACTGGGGAGGCTGAGGTGGGATGTTCGCTTGAGCCCAGGGGGTTAATGCTACAGTGAGCCATGATCCCGCTTGGGCAAGAGTAAGATCCTGTCTCAAAAAAAAAGAAAAGAAAATATAACACCCTCATTTCCACTTTTAATAACAAGTCATATTAAAGCAGTTGTCTAAATTTTGTAACATGCTACAAAAAAGAAACCTAAATTTCCTCCTAAATGACACTGCCTACATCTAGCTCTGCAGAGGCTATTCAACACCTAAACACCTTAACATACTGCTCTCAGACTGATCTATTGACAGAAACTTATTCTGGGGTTTACTTGTTTTAATCCTTCTAATATTTTTGGCTCCAATATTTAGCATGCGGGGAAAAAAAGGTATCAGCAAGTTGACAAATTCTGCAAACTGATTATTCTTAAAGTATCTGACCCAAGAGTCAGATACTAAACTCAAACTGTTTTCCTTACGTAGCAGGAAGAGATGCCATCTGGACTGAAAGACCCTTTGATTCAGACTCTTACTCAGAGTGTAAGGGCAAACAGTATGTCAAAAGGACATGGTATAAAAAATTTGTAGGAGTGCAGCTGTGCAACTCTCTCAGATACAAGATTTACTTGAGCGACTCTCTCACAGGTAAGCAGGGCTACCAGCTGTTTTCAGCCCTTAACTTATGGGAATGTTTTGCAGCATTGTACAACTTGGTCTTTTCTTAAAGAGTTTCAGGCACTAATGGGTGCTGTAAACACAAGTTTTCCTCTGAGCAAAATGTTATGGAAATGGTTATCATTCCTGGAAAACAAGGATTTTTAAGACATGCTATTAGAAGGTAAATAATAAAAATGCAATTATAAAACAGTGCCATCATGGCAAACTGGAATGTACATTCACTAACCATGGTCAAACTCCATTTTGTTACAACCATCCAGGGATAAAAAGCCTATTGACAATAAAGTGACTAAATCTAACGATAACCATGGAACGAATATAACATCTTCAAGATGCTAGAAGAGCTACAACCCCCTGCTCCATGCCCAATAGGTTATAATTTTCTATATTCATAGAGTAAAAATTTTTAATGAATAAGGCTGGCCCTAACATTAAAAAGTAGGTATTTTTTCAGTCATTCAACTCTTCTAGGTGCTGAACACAAAGCAGCATAAAAGGTACTTCCTACTTTCCTATAGCTTACCTCTCCTTTCTTTCCTTGGTAAGAAGAGATAGATAATACGTAAATAAGTAAACATTTCATAGAGGTAAAGAACATTTTCAAAAAGGTGAAGGCCTAACAAGTTAGCACTAAGCTAAGGAGAAAATTGGGAAGGAACTAACCACACAAGGGTCTAGAGGAAAGAGGTCAAAGAATACACCTGGCCAGTTCCACCAGTATGGCCCAGACTTAGTAACTGGAGGGGCAGGCAGGTGTGAAATCATGTGGAGCTTTGAAATCAGGTAAGAACTTTGGATTTTATTCTGAGTATAATGGGAGACTGCTGGAGAAATTTATGGAGAAAACAAACATTATCTGACATGCATTTTTAAAAGATCACTAATCTCTGATAAGGGGAGGGGAGGAAGAATACAGGTAGGCAAGAAACATTGTTGGTTTGAACTAGGGTAATAGAGAATGAGGGGAGAAAGTACAAAAACAGTAATGATTTCAGAATTGTCACATTTCAAAGAAAGTAAGTAATACTTTATCCTGTTAATTTCTGGTTCTTCAGGAAAATTTTATAACATAGGCGATCAGAGGGGTCATGGAGAAGATCACTGCCAGTTTGTGGATTCATTTTTAGATGGACGCACCGGGCAGCAACTCACTTCTGACCAGTTACCAATCAAAGAAGGTATGTTTTCTGATCCTCCTCATAAGCAACAGAGTTTTACAGATTAACCCAGAAAGAAATCAAGCTGAGGAAAGCAATCAATTTAAGAAGAATTCTATAGTACTACTGCTCCACATATCACATATCTAGGAAAAAATGAAGACTTCAATGTAAGTTTCTCAGCTTAGAAACTTGGAGCCAAGGGAAATTAGACAGACATAATATAAATGCATTCTACTTCAAGAAAATCTAAACTTGCAAAAACAGCCACAAAAAAGCAGTTTCCCAAACTTAAATCATTCATGTATTAATGTTACGGGTTTTGTCATACTGAGTGCACTTGCATTATTATTTCCTTAAGAAAAAAAAAAAATTTAACTACTGCTACCGTAAATGGAAAAAATAGTACTTACCTTGCAAGTAACTGTATAAATATAATTAAAATAGAATAATTCTGTGGGAAATGAATAACCTCTGTAAATTGCTAAAGACCCATTGGCACCAAGCTGTGTAATGAGGACTGAATAAGACTTAAAATTAATCCTTGTCTAAGCAGTGCAGAAGAGGGTAAATTAATTGTTCCTATTAGTCCGGAATCACCTAGAGGTTCTCTAAATAAACTATTTGATTCGATTTTTCAGTAACACATTTTGTTCACGGGCACTTAAAAATACCAACAATACTAAAAGATGACCTACTAAATTCTGTGAACACATTAATGGGCAGTGAAACTGTCCCTACCAACCATCCCTCCTAACCTGACATGGCAAATGTCAACAATTTCTCAGGTGCCCATTTTGCCAACCATGACTACACCTCAGGAAAAAACACCAGAGCTGCTTGCTCTCTGTTTTCTAAATTACCTCGCTTCACTAAGATTAGCCTTCAGCTATTCAATGACATCCTTCAATCTATAAGCTATGAGGGCAAAAATATAATACAGCAGCTATTAAAATGAAACTACTTTCTCTCTCAGGTTATTTCAGAGCAGTTCGCCAGGAACCTGTCCAATTTGGAGAAATAGGTGGTCACACCCAAATCAATTATGTTCAGTGGTATGAATGTGGGACTACAATTCCTGGAAAATGGTAGATGCTGCAAAGTTACCTTCTGTTTCATCATGGCAAACAAAATCATTGAAAATACTATGTCACATTCATTCAAAGCTATTTTGTTTACTATGTATAAAAGTCTACAATTTAATAGCAATACTAGATGTTTATTATTAGAAAAGATTGCTGAGAGTATTTATCAGGTTTTACAAAGTCATTTTAAGAAAGCAAAATATTGATGTTAACAGAATAACATTTTTGGGGAAGCTGGCTCCCTATTCATGGTATTTTAAGAGATCGTTTGTATATTATTTATCACACTGTTGTAATGATGTTTTGAGATACTTTTATAACAAAATTAACATCAAAAGTATATACTTTTAAAAAATATTTACTTTTATTGATGTGTACTCTTCCTATTGACGAGTTAATTCCATAAATCTCTACTTAGTTTAACTTATTGGATCAAATTATCTTCAGCATATATATCTGGGGAAAAAAGGTCCGAATTTTCACATTTATATTTAAACTTCCATTTTTTAGCAACAGCTGAATAGCTTTGTGGAGGATTTTAAGAGTTACACATTCATGCTAATATACATTTCCTTTAAACATCCACAAATTCTTAAAAAGACTGAATCAGTAAATTTCATTTCAGCTAAAAATGAAGTCTAATATATTGTTTCAAAAGATACATTTTTACATACCATAAATGTTACAATATCTGAATATGCTTTGTCAAACTATCCCTTTATGCAATTGTCTTCATATTGTTTTTATGATTCTAATCAAGCTGTATGTACAGACTGAATGTGAAGTCTGAGCACAAAAATAATGCACGATGAGATCGCCTACCATTTTATAGGACATTTACTATGTATTTATATGTTAAGACCTCTATGAATGAATGTATCAGAGAATGTCTTTGTAACTGTTTGTTTAATTCAATCTGTAATAAAAATCTGACTCATTTCTATTAAAAAGGTATTTTCCTTTAGGCGGGGAATGGGAATCCTTGCTGCACTGTTGCAGTCATTCTGAAAGGACCTTTCCCTGTACTTACCTTTCAACATGCTTCAATCTTATCAATGCTACATTTTGTATTTTTCAAGTAAGTATAAATTCTGCAATAAAGAGATGTAATTTTTTTTAAGATTGAGTTTTTTTTATTTCTGAATGGTTCATCAGTATGTTTACTATACCCTAAGGAAAATCACAAAGTTATCCAGGCTCTACCAAACCCCCATCATATCTATTGTTTTTGTCCTAAATTAACCTTTCATCCTATGAAGTAATAAAGTTCATTTTAAACCAACGATTACCAATGCATTTTTTTTCCAAAGGAAGGACAAAAACCAAATGGCAGTTTTCTCTGAATGGAAATCTGTAAGTTAAAATGTCAAAATGTTTATACTTCATTTTAAGACCAAACACCAATAAGGACTTCTGAAAAATTGTTTTTTCACATAATGTTAATGACTAAATTAAATTTGAAGACCACTAATGGATTCAATCACCTTTATTAACCTATCAGTGTTACATTTTATACATAATATCTTCTTGTATTCTCCAAGGGCTCTACTTTAGTACATCATGTTAATAGTAAAAAGGCAAGTAAGATGGCTAAACCTCACCCTAGCATTTTAATATCCTCTGGACAAAGGAAACTAGAAAGTCAATCACTTTATACACGTAAGAGTAGTGTTCCAAAGTAACTAAGAAGCTGCTACATTTTTAAGCAGGGAGGAAAAAATTTTCATTTTGGTCTTTGTGTTCCAGCAAATTATACTTTCAATTAACAGCAACAATGATATCATAAAAAATGCTCTGCTTTTTAAATTTCTGAACTTCAATACAAATTAAAATAGTACTGGAGTCTTTTGGGAGGCCAACAGCTAGCAGCTACATTAACTGGTGTAGATGAGCCTCCTTATCGATAACCAGGTCCAGGTTGGGTATAGCCCTGACCAAAGGGAGGACGGTTACGTGCATAAGGATTAGGCCCACTTGGAGGAGGGGTCATGGTACTTCCAGGAAGTGAAGTAAAACCTGGTCTTGGTTGATAGGCCCCAGGTTGGCTTGGAGCCATTCCAGGTTGAGAGGCAGGAGCCACAGTGTAATTAGTAGGCTGAGAAGTTTGGGCAGTGTAAGTTTGTGCAGGATAATTGCTCGCCTGGTACTGCTGTGGCGGCTGAGCAGGCAGTTGTTGAGGCTGACCAGAAAAGGCAGGAGCTGGTGCCTGGGAAGTTGGTTGCTGGCCATATCCCTGGAACTGCTGAGGTTGTTGGGGTCCAGTCTGCTGACTATAGCTTGCTGAAAAGGCAAAATAAACAACATGTATCTTATCTTTTAGTAAAACTTTTCCAAAGAATTAGTCTTACTGTTAGGTGGACCAAAAATGGTGAGAAATTTAATAAATATGTATGTAACAAGCAGAGTGGTAGCTTCCATCACATAATATTTCAAGACCAAATAGTTATCAAAGAGGCATTCTCTACAATTTTTTAAACCCTCTGAGACATAATCCCTGAGAGCAAATTCCTGCCATAGCATAATTCCTAGAACAGATGCTCAAATGATAAAAGAATTATTATACTTTCTAGGAAGATCAAAAATGGGAAAGCTAAATAGTCATTAACCAGGTTTTCAGGGGAGACCTACTTAACAGTATCAAATAAAAACACATCGTGGAGAATGAACATTTTTATATGAAATAATACTATAAATACATCTTATTGTACTAATTAGGTGCTTTAAATTTTGCTCACTCTATAAAAACTAAGCCATTAAGAATAAATACAAAGTACCATTTTCACAATCTTTAAAATCTTTCATTTCTTTTAGATTTGGTATCTGATGCTTTTTGCCTTTACGACTCAAAATTTTGACTTAGCAGTACAGCATAACACATAAAAAGCACACCATATTGCCCCATAAAAAGCAACATCTATATTCATTATTTACTAGGATGGAATTTTTTTTACAATAAAAGTCGGCTTCACTGAAAACTTTTATCTCTACCATGAAACACACCTGCAGCTACTTGCAATGAAACCTCTCCATTGACTGGAATCCTGTCAGCATTAAATACCAGATACATAAGAAAATTATTAAAATATGTACAACCCTGCATTAAAAAAAAAAAAGGATTGAATGAATTTGAGTATATTCTGAACTCACCTTGAACCTGGGTTCAAAATTTACTCATGAAAGAAACCTTTATGACATAGTCCATGAACAAAACTGGAAAAGGTCAGAGGGAAACTGGCAAACCAACAGTGTCAAAGATGGTCCAATGTTACCACCACCACCTCTTAGTCTCCAAGCAGAGTATTTAGTTGACTATTTCCATATCTCTCAATCAAATTCAAGTTAATAGACTAGTAGGATCAGAAATACAAAGATCATAATTTGAAAAACCTAAATTTTACTCAGAGTGAAGACCCTGACTAAATTTATTAAGAGCAAACTTAGTTCTTAATAAGAAAATCAAGTATCTTTAACCCATTTAACTCACGGTAGCATCTGAACACTGACCTAAAACCAATTCATAAAAAATTCTGAATGTCATACAATTTCTCCTATCCTCTACATAAAACTTACATTTTCACTATAAGGTTTGGAGAAACAGATGGATTCAGCTTTATACTGAAAATGCCTATTCATTTTAAGACTGCGAGAAAAAAGAAAAGTGCCTTTTCATCCTGGCACCCGAAATCTAAATTGTTTTTTTAACTGGGCCTGGAAGTAATCTGATCCTTAATTATTGCTTAGGGGAGGGAATAACCCTATAGGCTGAAGATTTCATTAGCAGCCCACCAGTCTCTTGAACATAATGTGGCAATGCTTCTATCACTCTGTGTGTGTGTGTGTGTGTGTGTGTGTGTAGTCTCCCTTCCATTCCTCCAAAATAATAACTTTAGGTGAAGGACATCAGAAATAGCAAAAAATGGAAATATGGAAATTATGTGGGGTTTTTTTGAATACACAGGACATCTACCCTTTTATGGAAGAAGTCTGCCAACTCCAGTCTAGGCTGTAGAATGCAGAATGATACAGGGAAATACTGAACTGGTCCAGCTCCCTCCACTGAATGGCTATATGTGCTTTGACAAGTCACAATCTCTTTGAAAACTAGTTGCCTCATTTATAAAATGCAAAAGCCTGAGTCCCACACCCAATCAAATGAAATTCAAAAATCTCTGGGAATGCAGCCCCTACACAAAGCCTCCCCCAGGTGATTCTAAAGCACAGTGAGGGCCGAAATCCCCTGAGATTAAATGACAACTAAATCTCTTCAGTTCTGCTATTCTTTCTATAAATCACATAATTTGTAACACTGATTTTTTTTTTTAAAGAACTGCATCCTAAAAATAACCTTCCTCCTGATATATTCCAAACTTAAGTTCTATACATTTCATACAATTAAAAACAAGTAGCTACAGGTTAAGTCACTCCACAGCAAATAAGATCTAAATAAAATTATTTGTGCTAAAATATTTCAAACTTTAATTAATGACAGAATGTTACGGTCTAGGTCAGGAGTCAGCAAACTTTTCTGTAAAGAGCCAGACAGTAAATATTTTAGGCTTTGTGGGTCACATGGTCTTCTGTTGCAACTAGTCAACTCTGCCATTCTAGTGACCAAGCAGCAGTAGAGAATATAAAAATAAAAGCAGAAGTGTGTTCCAATAAAACTTTATTCAAAAAAAACAGGCAACAGTCCCGATTTGGCCTGTGGGCTATACTTTACTGACTCCTGCTCTAGCTGATACCACGAAACTCCATAAAATTTAGACAAGATTCAACTTGCATAAATTATTTTTAATTACAGTTGAAATTCTGATACTTCAATCTTTGGCTGTAACACAAGCATTGGACACAAACTCTCTCTCTGACATAAATGTAACAAATACTGGAATTATAGCCAAAGTTACATTAATATTTATCATACTTAGATACATATAATCTTCGGCAGACAGATGGTAAAATACAAACAAAATAGGATGCTTATTTAAAACAACTAAACAATGTTCTTAGTTGCCTGAATTACATTTTATACGATTTTATTTGTATGGCCTCTTTCTGGTATTCCTACATACTTGCAAGAGATTTTAAAATCTAAGTAGCTTAATTTAGCTTTTAAATAAGATCACCTTTCCATGTATGAATAAACTGTTCATATTTCTACAGGTACTAAGAGTACACTGGAATTACGTGTTACAAATAAATGGAGGGGTGGAGGGGAGGGGGAAAACTTGCACTAAGTTGCCTAAGAGATAAACTGATCATGTTAGTAAGAGACAGCTTTGTATTTAAAAATTTTTATACTACAAGTTACTGCAGAATCATCTACTGTAAGTTTTATTTGCCCACAAGAAAACTGAAATGTTGATTTACAATAGATATTAACGTAAAATATTTTTAAATAAATAAAACAAATGTTGTTTCCCCTAAATAAAAACTTAATACCTATTATGTCAATGTACTACAAATCAAGGAATTAAGAAGAGCTTAAAGTTTAATGAGTAGAGAAACAAAAAGCCATGAGCCAACTCCCTTTCAACACCTGCTCACCTGAATACTGAATACCATACTGTTGAGGCTGCTGAGGTGGAGCCTGCGGCTGCTGCGCACCATAGCCGGCCTGTTGCTGGTACTGTTGGTACATCTGACCTGAAAAAGAAAAACACACACACACACACACACACACAAGAAAACAAGACATGTTTAATGTGGCAAAGAGAAATATTTTTAAGATACATATACATTCTCTCTCCATCCAAACAGAGTAATAATATACAAGAAAGTATCTGTTCACCTTTAAATGTCTACGAAGAGAAGGAACCATTTTAGAAGTGTGATTTCTCTGCTGTGGACTAACTGCAGAGAACTAACTGGCAACAAACATTAAGTGCAACACCAGTGGCTACCATTTCATAAAGTCTAGAAAAACAAATGTTTTCCAACTCAGCTGCCAACAGATAAGTAACACTAATGTTCATTAAAAGCCAAGTGAGTTGAAAATCAGTAAATAAAATGAGAAAAAGGACAAATACCATTACTATCATCTGAGTCCTTCCTAAAGCACTGTATTTGCCCTGTAAGGTTTGGACCTCTATTACCATATGAACAAACTCTTCGGTAGCAAGGAACTACATGACATCTTTTGTTCCAGAGCTGCAAGACACTTCTGAAATCTGTCAAGTTTGATTTTC